AAATAAAGGTGTTAGACTTAGAAATCTTACCACAGGTGTTTATAACAAACATATACTTGAAGTTAGAAGTAAATCTCAGACGAATAAGAATAAAAGTTACAAACAAAAAATAAGGAAAATTCAAAGTTGTAGGGAAAGATCATTCTAGAAATATTGACACTAGAGTTATAAATCTTGTCATGCTATTCTGATATGGGTGATGGTATCAAATTTAAAATTCAAGTTTAAAGTAAATCATTTAAAAAATAATGAAGTTAAGGGTTTAAAAAAATCAAACAAATTTCAGAAAATCACTAAGTTCAAAAGGGAAATAATTCTGGAAATATTCCTGCTTCAATTATAAAACATATCACACATGGTGTAGGTGATGATAAGGAACATAATTATATTTGAAATTTGAAGTTGATACCTTCAAAAAATTATAGTTATAGAAAACAAGAACATTTATAAGGGAAGCTCCAAAGTTCCAGGGGGAATAATTCTATAAATTATAGTGCTAGAGTTATAAACCTTATCACATATGATGTGGTTGATGATAAAAAAACAAATATTTGAAGCTTAAAGTAGATCCTTTACAAAAATACATGTAGAAGTTATAGTAAAAAAAATATGGAAATTTCTAAGTTCAAGGGGAGATAAATATAGCTCCTAGAGCGATGAACCTTTTCAAAATGTGGTTGATGATAAGGAAAATAACTATATTCGAGTTTGAATTAAATTTCTTAAGAAATAAATTTGTTGTGACAAACAAATGTTGTCATAATTGTGTTGTGACATACTCCTGTTGTCATACTTGTGTTTTTACAAACTGATGTTTTACTTGTGTTGAAACATACTGATGTTGTCACATCTTTTGTAACATACTTATGTTGTCATGTGTTGTGACACACTCATGTTGTCATACTTGTGTTGTAACATACTAATGTTGTCATGTGTTTTGACAAACTTGTCATATTTGTGTTGTAACATACATGTACTACTCATGCTGTCATGCTTGTGTTGTGACATACTCATGTTGTCACATCTTTTGTAACATACTAATGTTGTCATATGTGTTGTGACACACTCATGTTGTTATACTTGTGTTGTGACAAACTTATCCTGTTAGATTTGTGTTGTGACATAAACATGTTTTGTCACAGTGAGTTGTGTTCCATTAAACTGATGTTGTTATACTTATGTTTTGACAATCTAATGTTGTTGTAATTGTGTAGTGACAAACTGATGTTGTTATACTTGTGTTGTGATCCACCAATTTTGTTTTTAAACCTGTGTTGTGACACATAATGATGTCATACTCGTGTTGGAACACATTCATGCTGTGACATACTCATGTTGTTATACTTGTGTTGTGACACACTCATGTTGTTATACTTGTGTTGTGACACACTCATGGTGTTATACTTGTATTATGACATACTAATGTTGTCAAACTTGTGATGTGACACACTCGTGTTGTTATACTTGTGTTGTGACACACTCATGTTGTTATACTTGTGTTGTGACACACTCATGTTGTCAAACTTGTGTTGTTACATGGCCATGTTGTTATACTTGTGATGTGACACACTCATTTTGTTATACTTGTGATGTGACACACTCATGTTGTTATACTTGTGTTGTTACATGGCCATGTTGTTATACTTGAGTTGTGACACACCCATGTTGTTATACAACACAAATCTAACAGGATAAGTTTGTCACAACACAAGTATAACAACATGTGTATGTTACAACACAAGTATGACAACATTAGTTTGTTGTCAAACTTGTGTTGTTACATGGCCATGTTGTTATACTTGTGATGTGACACACCCATGTTGTTATACTTGTGTTGTGACACACTCATGTTGTCAAACTTGTCTTGTTACATGGCCATGTTGTTATGCTTGTGTTGTGACACACTCATGTTGTTATACTTGTGTTGTGATACACTCATGTTGTCAAACTTGTGTTGTTACATGGCCATGTTGTTATACTTGTGATGTGACACACTCATGGTGTTATACTTGTGATGTGACACACTCATGTTGTTATACTTGTGATGTGACACACTCATGGTGTTATACTTGTGTTGTGACACACTCATTATGTTATACTTGTGTTGTGATAGCACTCATGTTGTCAAAACTTTGTGTTGTTACATGGCCCATGTTGTTATACTTTGTGATGTGACACACTCATGGTGTTATAACTTGTGATGTGACACACTCATGTTGTCAAACTTGTGTTGTTACATGGTCATGTTGTTATACTTGTGATGTGACACACCCATGTTGTTATACTTGTGTTGTGATACACTCATGATGTCAAACTTGTGTTGTTACATGACCATGTTGTTATACTTGTGATGTGACACACTCATGTTGTTATACTTGTGTTGTGACATACTCATGTTGTCATACTTGTGTTGTTACATGGTCATGTTGTTATACTTGTGATGTGACAACACTCGTGTTGTTATACTTGTGATGTGACACACTCGTGTTGTTATATTTGTGATGTGACACACTCATGTTGTTATACTTGTGTTGTAACACACTCATGTCATACTTGTGTTGTTACATGGTCATGTTTATTTTACTTGTGATGTGACACACTCATGTTGTTATACTTGTGAATGTGACACACTCATGTTGTTATATGATGACACACTCATGTTGTTATACTTGTTGTGATAACACTCATGTTGTCAAACTTATGTTTTAATGGCCATGGTTGTTATATGTGACACAACTCATGGTGTTATACTTGTGTTGTGATACACTCCCATGTTGTCAAACTTGTGTTGTTAACATGCCATGCGTTGTTATACTTGTGATGTGACACTCACTCATGGTGTTTATACTTGTTGTGACACACTGCCATGTTGTTATACTTGGTGTGTTGTGACACACTCATTATGGTATACCACACTCATGTTGTCAAACTTGTGTTGTTACATGGGCCATGTTGTTATACTTGTTGATGTGACACACTCATGGTGTTATACTTGTGATGTGCACAGACTTGTGTTGTTACATGCATCGTGTATGTTATACAACTTGTGAAGTGTGACACACTCACTTTGTTGTTATACTTGTGTTGTTGACACACTCATAGGTTGTCAAAACTTGTGTGTGTTACATGGCCATGTTGTTATACTTGTGGTTGTGATACACTCATGTTGTCAAACTTGTGTTGTTACATGGCACTCATGTTGTTTATACTTGTGATGTGACACACTCATGGTGTTATAACTTGTGATGTGACACACTCATGTATGTTATACTTGTGTTGTGATACACTCGATGTTGTCAAAGCTTGTGTTGTTACATGGTCTTGTGATGTTGTTATACTTGTGACATGTGACATGTGACACCCACTTTGTTTGTGACACAGCTGCATGTTGTACCTTTGGTGTTGTGGATACATACATGTTGTCAAACTTGTGTTGTTACTTGTGATGACACACCATGTTGTTATACTTGTGATGTGACACACATGTGTCAAACACTCATGTTGTTATACTTGTGTTGTGTTATACATACTCATGTTGTCATACTTGTGTTGTTACATGTTGTTATATGGTGACACACTCATGTTGTTATACTTGTGATGTGACAACACTACTGTGTTGGTTACATGGTCAGTGTTACTTGTGATACTTGTTGTTATACTTGTGATGTGACACACTCGTGTTGTTATACTTGTGATGTGACACACTCATGTTGTTATACTTGTGTTGTAACACACTCATGTCATACTTGTGTTGTTACATGGTCATGTTTATTTTACTTGTGATGTGACACACTCATGTTGTTATACTTGTGATGTGACACACTCATGTTGTTATACTTGTGATGTGACACACTCATGTTGTTATACTTGTGATGTGACACACTCATGTTGTTATATTGGTGTTGTAACACACGATTTGTTACAAATGTGATGTTTATAAACTTGTGATGTGAACCACTCATGGTTGTTATACTTGTGATGTGACACACTCATGTTGTTATACTTGTGGATGTGACACACTCATGTTGTTATACTTGTGATGTGAGCACACTCATGCTGTTATACTGGTGATGTGACAACACTCATGTTGTTATACTTGTGATGCTTGACACACTCATGTTGTTATACTTGTGATGTGACACACTCATGTTGTTATACTTGTGATGTGACACACTCATGTTGTTATACTTGTGATGTGACACACTCATGTTGTTATACTTGTGATGTGACACACTCATGTTGTTATACTTGTGTTGTTACATGGCCATGTTGTTATACTTGTGTTGTGACACACTCATGTTGTCATACTTGTGATGTGACACACTCATGTTGTTATATATATTTTGGGAAATATTTTGTTATGTTACATGCTCATGTTGAACACTGTGAAACAATGATATCATTCAAACAAGAATTAAATTCATTAAAACCAGTCATGCTGTATAAAACATTTTCAACATATATTTCTTTAACAATATTAAGTTTTTAAAAATGTTGGACAATCCAATTTTGACTGCAAAAATAATGTTAGTTTTTAGAGTTTTGACATCAACTGGCGTACCCTCATTCTAACAATATTCTGTATGAATTTGTATCCATGTCTGAATCAAGCTTCGGAAGGCCGTCGACGGTTTGGAATTTTTACCCATTTTGTAACAAATGCCTAATTTTGCGAAGAAGAAGAGCTATCATTTTATTCATGCAAGTAGATTTCTTTTCCTCAAAATGCGCTGGCGTTGGTTTTCACAAAAACGCGTTTCACCAAAGGTTTTGGAAATAACTTACAGGCTTGAATAATAAGATAACAGTACTGTAAAGATCGTTTTGCTTTATCTATGTCTTTTCGGGTAGACATAGCTGGAAATGGTTGTTTTTGTAATGAAGCTGGCGAACTTTTTTGTTTTTTTTTTTTTTTTTTTTTTTTTTTTTTTTTTTTTTTTTTTTTTTTTTTTTTTTTTTTTTTTTTTTTTTTTTTATTAAGGCAAGATACAAATAGTCACTGGTCCTTGAATATGGGCTGCCTAAACTCACAAACTTTAGACTGAACATCGGCAAACCCATTTGAAGTAAAGCTTGAACCATTTCTAACCGCCCTTTAACTACGGCAGTTTGTAATGGGAATCCATACTTGGATCCTTTATTGATGTCACATTGATGAGAAATCAATTCATTAAATATGTCTTGATGTCCAGCTAGCACTGAGAAATAGAGGGCTGTCCTTCCTTTACTGTCTTGTCCATTTATGTCTGCCCCACATTTCAAGATCTGCTTTAGTAACTGAAGGCAAGAATATGTGGCGCAAACATGAATTGGTAATAGGCCATCTTTGTCTGCTAAATTAGGGTCAGCTCCATGTTGTAGCAATAGCTCGGTAAGCGGGTGTCTGTAAATGATAGATTTTAGCAATGCTGTCCTTCCGACAGTACTTATTGCATTTATGTCTGCCTTGAATTTCAGTAATAGAATAAGCTGTATCTCTAGGCACCTTGGATTATGAGATGCCAGACAAACTCTATCCTTAGCTTTATTTTCAATAAGTTCTATTAAAGCAGAACGCCCAAAGCTATCCTGGACATTTGCATCCAAGCCTAATTCCAAAATATAGCGCATACAGTCTAACTGGTGATGAATAACGGCAGTGTGTAGCAGTGATTTACCTTCCTTTCTAATATCTTCAATTTTAAGTCCAGGTTTCAAGTCTACAAAACGTTTTAATTGGTGAACATTACCAGATTGAACTGCCTTAAACAAGTACTGGTACCCGTCTTCTGTATCTGGGGATGTATTTTTTTGACTGCTCTTTGCTGATCTTATCAACAACTGACCCATTATTTCAATAATTATTTACTGTAAATTTGTTAACCAAGCATTTCCATCTGAAATAAAGTATAAAAGATATTATTTTCATGTTGTTATTGATTCGAAGAGTATTATATTATTTCGGTTCCAACTTGCTGGAAACTTCTTACTTATTAATAAAATATATTTAAAGATCCTGTATGCTGTGATCAAAGTGGTAAACCACACTTAGTGAAATATTAATACATTGTACATAATTAATTTATGCAAATAAAACAATTTTCAAACATCGAAGAATATGTTAAATATGTACTGAAAATATTTGTGCATATTATATGTTATCATTTAATATATGCATTCATTTCATATTGTAAAATTTGACTTAAACTTTATAGAAAATAATTTTTTATTACCTCCCTTTATTCACATGAAATGTTAAAATTGGTAATATCTTTATAAATAATGCTTTTTGGAACCTAAAATATTGATAAATCTTAATTTGATCATCATATTTATGATTTAAAACCATAAAAAAATTGTGTTACAGGATCTTTAAATTTTAGTTCAACTTATTTTCTTTTTTTAGAATTCCAGATGTGGGAGGTTTCTAATTTTAAATAGAAAATGAGTCGCACCCCTATGATGTTCACAATAGATGGTCAGATATATCAATGAATCATGATAACATGTATGCCTTCACAATACATGATACAATTTTGAGGTATTGTTATCTGGTGACAATATTGTTGATACAGTTTCAGCAGCAATGCCCAACTCTAAATTGTTCAAATTGCATGGACAATGTATGATTACATTTTGTACTTGTATCTTATTTAGTAATGTCCACTGTCTATTAGTTTGTTAATTTATCTAATCTTTGCAAAATGTTTTCAATCACAGACTTTAATGACAATAATGTCAATTAAAGTCCTAGTCAAAATACATTGATGTGCCAAAGCTAAATTCTGAGATATGTCTGTTCTGGGTCAGAATCTCACTTCTAGAGAGGGGTGATATTGCCATGCTCTAAAATAGCACAATATCTTGATTGTCGCGTAGTACCAGGGTTCTCGGGGACGCTTATTTCGGCGTCCCGGTACGCATGTTTATTGCAGCTGGACGCAAATATTTCAGAGCAAGGATTCCACGTACGCTTAATTTTGCCCGGGGACGCATAAACATTCCCGATTGTTTACAACCACAAATACACAAATGCGTCAGCGCGTGTCAGTCTATAGGTAGGCGGTCCTATGCACATCGACCCGTGAAGCAATTAGCCAATCAGCGATAACGCTACCGATCATTATCACGCAATAGTGATCAGACTAATGTACTGTATACACGCGCTGTACAGTACATGTAATTACCAGATATATCACGAGGTGATAATTTTATATCTTTGATCAACAGTTGATTGGAAATTAGCAAATTTTACCGACAAAAGGATAAAATTATCGACTATTTACGCCGCAAGTTTAAAGACTGTTTTCTCAAATTACAATTGAGTGTAATTTTGAATGATTGTCGAATATTTTCGGCATTATAATGATTGTCGAATATTTTCGGCATTTTCTAGGCACAAATTTGCTTTAGTTTCATTCTTGCAAAAACTTTCTATAAGAGTATTAAGAATTTAAGATATTGTGCCGAAATGCCAGGTACACATACGCTTTTCTCTATCCGATAATTGATCCCGAACATCGGCGATTTCACGTTCGCCAGAAACCCTAAAATTTCGCAAAAATTCTCGGTTACCAAGCCAAACATGCGAATGAATTGTTTCTTTATTATTTAATCAACATTAAATCTTTAAATGTCGATCTTTAATTTGCCCCCTTTTGAAGATATTTGCTAAAATAATCGTCGATCGGATGAATCTCTTACACACTGTGTGAATCTGTACACGATTTTCCTATTCATTCCGCTAAACGCTGCCTATATACATTTACGTTTTTTTTTTACAAATACAAACTTTTTGTCTTAAGAAAGGACTTATTTAACCAGAGAAAAATTTGATTTGGTATAAAAGTGAAAAAAAAAGAAAAGATTTCCATGGGTTGATGCATTATAATGAAATAATTTCATAATAAATATTAACAACAAAACAATAATTATACTATGTAGTTCAGAGTTTCTTTTGAATAACTATTTACTTTGGAAGTCTCTTGAACATTCAAAATATCAGCATTGCTATTGTGAACATTGAATGACAAATTAATCTGTAAACATATTAATTGTGACGCGCTTTTGGACTCCAACTTTTTCAGGGTTGGGAGTCCATGGACTCCATGTTTTAAAGTCCTAGTGAGAACCCTGAGTACAATTGGACAAATAAAAGTTAATAAGAATTACATGAACATTACACAAACTGCATTCATTTGGTTTAAATGCAAGTATCATTGTAACTTAACCAAGATCAGAAGATACTGTGATAATATAGTTGTACATTTTTCAGCAGCAATGCCCAACTCTAGCCTAAATTGTATATATGTATCTCATTTCACTGAAATTTTCAGTGGACATTTCATTTCAATTAGTTTTGTCATTTATCCAATCTTAACAAAATACATAAGATACATGTCATATACCAAAAAGTACTAATAGCAGACAACGGTACTTTCCCTTATTATGTCAATACACCCATAAACACTTTTCATATGAACTACGCAAATAACCGAGGTATAATGTGTGAAAAAATAAGAGTTGTTTCCCTTATCTTCGAGTAAAATCGAAATCTCTTACGCTTAAACAATACAAATTAAGCCATTTTTAAACCGCTAGTTTGTTGTGATTAAATGTCCGATCAAAGGAACCCGAAATTCTATCCAAAACAAAAAAATAATGATTTAAAAAATATTTCATATATATATAATTACTATAAAAAAACATATACTACATGTATGGGATTTTTTTTTAAAATCATTATTTTTTTGTTTTGGATAGAATTTCGGGTTCCTGTGGTCCGATTTTAAAAATCATTACATCAATTGAAAGCTTGGGATCTTAGCTTTGTCACAGTATATAATTTAACACATCTTTTGACACCAAAGTATTTAGATTAACTGTTAAACCTACCATAGTCCATATGTCAGACCATTTTACATACGATTTATACAATGAGATACGCAACCGGTTATCTGTACTCGAAATACTACTGATAAGAATAGCCAGTCGTCTGCTAGTTGGGAAAGTGTTTTATCGGTTTATTACTTTAACAGTTCAAATCACTGACCAATTCACTAATTAAGTAATTTTTATGACTGAGTAAACAGCTGAACAGCTGAACGAGTATCACCTTACTGAACAGTGAACAAGAAGTTTACATAACTGACAATTCTAAATTATCAATTGCAAGGATAGTTTAACTTATGTTCCTTCAAAATGAAGTGTCAATTCACAAAATTACTTAATACATACCCACACATTTAGTCAGTAAATTAATTAAATGCCAAAATTTTCACTGTCCCAATTAACCCGTCGAAAACTGAGGTCATCCGAATGATTGAATTAAAACCACCAAAAAGAAAGAAAATAAGAGGCAAGATGAATAATTTACACCAAGTATGCACTACCTAATTAGTTATAACAGATCACGCGCTTGCTTAGAAAATATATAATAAAATTTGTGCAAACTAGTATAGGGTAAAAATATGTTACGAATATATAAGAAAGATAATGATGTATGTAAGGTTAAGAAAAAAAGTCACTGGTAATATCTGGGACGAAAGATATACTTGGCATCAATTTCAACCGAAATCAAGTAGTCGAGCCCGACTTGTACTTGATATAATGTGGCTTCTATATTTCTTATAACACTAAGCTGAAAAAGAATATTAGATACAAACAATTTTATTTATAACTGATCGGGAACAGCGTTGACATGTATGCAAAGGGCCATTAATTGTATCGCAATTTGCATTGATCTAAACCATACAATGCGGTATTACTTAATTATCTCCGTTAATGTTGTAATACATGTGACTTGTGAAAAACACGTCAGCTTTTGGTCAACACTACTAAGCACCATCAATACTACAAAGCATTAAGCAAAACAATTACCTAGCGCCACCACTACAAAGCAGCAGCAAACAGCAGATACACCGTCACCAATAGCCAGCACAACCACCATCATAACTAAAACAACAATTTAGAACCGCCACTAAGCATCGCAACCCACAAGCACCACTACCACAAAGCACCGCCACAATGCAACACCACAATCATCAAAAGTATCATACAGCAGATGCACCATCACCACCACCACCACAAGGCAGCACTACAATCCCCACCAGTACCAAAATGCAGATTCACTACCACCACCACCATCAAGACTAGTGGTAGCAGGAGCACTATTAAAAGAATCAAGCATCAATACCACCAAACACATCCGCTCTGGTCATTATGATAGACATTATTTTAACCATCATTATCAAAATAATACCAGCGACGTTTGACACATTACCTAATAATAGGAATACATTCATTAATAAAAATTAGTCAACATTATACGATAATGTTTTAAACCCATGTTTTAATCCTTGGACAATAAATTCATCATAACTATTCTCTTGCCACTTTTCAAGATTATCCTGTTTTGTTCTGTTTTAACATAAAGTTCGATCTACTTCATGTATATAACAATTTTTAATTTAACCCTTTACTTCATCAGCATATTGTGAAAAATGGCCGTTTTCATTTAAAAGCCCCCTGTTTCAAGTTCAAACTGCTACGAAACTATGAAAAATGATTTAATACTGATGAAACATGGCACAAATGTTGACTGGACCATAGTATCGGTAACAGTATGATCAATCTTAAAATTCCTGTACCATGGCATTGGGTGACGTCTCAAAATTGTCAAAATTCACTATTTTGCATTGTTTTTTTTCAATCAAAACAGATTTCAAAGTGCTGCAAAGTCTCAATGGATTGAAATAGAGTAAAGGCTTTTCAGCATTGGTTACATGTTACCTTACGATCGACCTGAGGCCTTTTTCAGTCTGTCACATTTCCAATATTTTCTTGACGATGAGGGGGGCTGCCGCCCCTTCAAACCCCCGAAACAGAAGGGGCGCATCCCCCATTTGACAACCCCTTGATATACCTTTTTGATAAGGGGCGGCGCCGAAAAAGTGATTTTTAATCAACATTTTTCAAACGAAAAACAATGTTTGGGGTTAAAACAGGGCACTTTTTCACTGTTAGGGGCCTCAAAAAGAGTGGGGGCGAAAAGCCGTCAAAGCACGTCTATATGAGGTAAAAGGTTAAAGTTAGATGTACCTGTATTTAAATCTGTATACATGTATATCTGTAAGTACATTACTTACAATGTACAATGTACAAGAAGTACATTGAGCCTGTGTCTACGCTAAAGGTAAAAGATGAAAAAATAAAATAAAAAACGAGCTTCGAATTTTAGTGGTCCGAAAAAGGTCAATCAACATAGCTTCTCTATTCAACGCATCACGGTAGCTACGCTGCATTACTAATAAGGGGAAGTAACTCATGCGGCTCTATATACACCGTAAAGGAGAGGCCATGGGCAACTGGTCTTTTTTTGTTGTATTTTTATCAGAGAGTGGTATTATCTTTTAAAACTTAAAATAAAATGATTCTTGTTCTGATTTACAGGTCAAATGACATCGACTTATATTGTTACGCGCATGCATTGATATTGTAGTTATTGGACCTATGCATTTGGAAACGACGACATAAGGAGCCGATATCGCCTTAAAAAAAAACAACAACAACAACAAACAAACAAACGGTTATATTTGGCCTACATTTATTATGAAGAAAGAAGAAGTAAAGGTTACCGATAGGGTGAATGAAACTTCTTTATATATGGTGAAAATACGGAACCTTTATTACTTTGTGAGGATGCATATTAAACTGTTTTTGTTGAGACAAATCAAAAATGACTTACCATAATTATGATTTAATTCATTTTATGTACATGTTTGTTTGCCTATTAAAGTTCTACAAAAATAGATATGCAAGTTTCGCTTGGTTTTTTACTATACTGGTGGAGGGAGACCTCGATCACGTGATACTTTGTAGATCATTTACTCAAAAAGAAGCATAATTATACCCGAGTAGAACCAAAGGAGTAGAGCCGTCAAGTATAACAACCGACATTTCATAAGCTATCTAGCCTGCTCCAAACCATGAAAAAAATCATAATGAAGGCCAAGCAATTTTCGATCTGAAGCGTTCGACCACGGAGGCTCCAACATCAATGAAATATGAAAATTAGAAGTATAAAGGGACACAACCTTTTCGGAACACAACTTATTAACAGCTTATTCTATAAAAAAAAAAAGACAAGTATTTTGTAGTATTATTTTCTAAACAAACAATGAATGACGTCAATCAAAAACTTACTCTTTGAAACATTTCAATGTATTCCAGATGTTGTATGGAGTCTACGCACTGACGCGGAATACCTCTTCGAAACTCTGTTACAGCACGAGTAAATCGAATCCATCAATATGTATAAAATATGATATTCCACAAGAAAAACGTGCAAAATCCAGGCATTTATTTGATAAAAATTCATGCTCATGAATGTTTTCGATAATGGCATGCAAAATTATAATACATGTACATCATTTGACAGTTTTTGGTTCAGTTTTGTTAAGAATGCGGACAAGATATATCCAGATGGCCTTTTAAGTGTCTTTGTCCAGTTGTATACGAACGTATAACATTTTATCACAGAATGTTCACAATGGGCGCACGGAATCTCGAGTCTATAATTATAATCCATTGTGTATGATTAATTGCGAGCACAAGCCTCTGCTAATTCCGATCAGTGTATGATTTATTTTAAGCTTATTTAATTCATTTGTATCATTTATAGCGAGCACTGAAAGATGATGCGTTAACCCACTGTAATGTCGTCTATTGCTGTAATTTAATACATGCATTATCATTACTTATTACTTGAAATTACACACATATTAGATAAAAACTATCATTTAAAACTATAATTTTTGAAGTTCTTCGGAGTTTACTGGTTTTAGTTAATACGAATTTATTTTAGTTCGATTATGTTTAAGCTTATTGAAACACTCTCGAATCCGTTCCTGGAACCTACCAGTACTAAGCAATGAATGTAAAGTTTCTTGCTCAAGGAAACAACGGCTTACTCCTGACAGGGTTTGAACCCACGCGGTCTGCAATCCTTATTACTAGTCTGACACGTTAACCACTGATTTTATATTAACATATGATAATAACATGGATTGTCATGTTTATTGAATTTAAAGCCCAGAAATTTTATACATGAAGAGCTCGCGATAAATTTGCTTCATATCGCTTTCCAGGACGCCTTTGATTTCTGTTATTTGAAATGATAACTCTTGTTAAGTAATATATTGTCAAAAAAATAACTTTAAAATATTTGTTAAAGCGTCTTAACCAGGCACATGTGCAGGATAGTTTTATTCCAAACACCTGTCCATAGACTTTAAAGTTAATTCTTTCAAAGATTAAATACTTACGAAGATTAAAATATAAAACAAGCACAGTTAGAGCATGATTTAATATGCTTGTAAGAAGGTTAAATTGAATTTAATTCGCGTTTTTATTTTGGATATGACAGGGGTAGTTTTTTGAAGGTGTATAATTTAAAATGACACGAATTGTTTTAAACAGTTTAGATTTAAACTTAATAAACTGTGTGCTGACAATGAACACGTGTTGGGGCAGAAGATACTGTTGTGTGACAATTAAGATCTCTAATGAGTCAGATCTTCACGGAAAAGAATAATTTATAATTTGCGAAAAGTGCTATAAAAGTGAAAAGATCTAAGCTAGGATTACGATTTGGTTCCAAGACAGAATGACGGACATATAAACCTTAAATAAATAAATAAATCCTAAAAAATCAACAACAACAAAATGGAACAAAATGGAATAATGCAGAATAAATAAGGTAAGTAAGTCAATTGAAGCATTTTCGTGTTTAAAAAAAAGAATTTAAATGTTTTTTGAATACGAAGTAGTAGCAAAGGAACTTTTCATGAAATAGAAAACAAACATAAATACGTAGATTCAGTATGATCAAAGAAAATACATTAAAGGTGTATAAATAATATCCTAACAGCGAGACAATATTACGTACTGAAAAGATTTTCAATTCATTTTTTTATATAAATCTACTCATTAATATTGATAGCGTTTTAGAAACACCTAAAGTGT